GAGAGAATGGAATTTTCATCAGTGGCTACCTTCTTGGTTCTAGATTTTTATCCCAAATGAGTCCGAGGTTCCTAGTGCACTACTGCATGCAGAGCCAAGTACATGTGCATCTGATGTTTCTTAACTGCACCAAAGGCCTGTCTCTAAGCCAGGGTAAAACAGAAGCTTCTTTTACCTCAGGCCTGGCAAGGGCCCAAGGGGCTGAAGCCTGAAAGAAGAGCCTAAACAAACACTATCTTGCTACGTTGGCAGGACCGTATTCCTAAGGTACAAGAGCTGGTTGGCAGACCAGCCTTGGGTCCCCACAGCTATGGACCATGGACCATGAGGGATGCAGGAGGGAGGTTACCTATGCTTTGTGATGAGAGGGTTGAATGCAGATATTTTCTTTAGCCATCCTGAAATCTATACCCTTTCAGTGACAGAGAGAGAGAAAGAGAGAGAGAGAGAGAGAGAGAGAGAGAGAGAGAGAGAGAGAGAGAAGAGGGAGATGAGGGAGACAGAGTGAGAGAGTGCATGGCATGGCAAGGTATGTATCGGGAAAGGCAGGTCTGACACTCCTTTACTTGGCCTTCTAGGCTAACCATTGGGCCCTGAACTCCATTTCCAGTCTTCTCCTCCAGCTACTGTATGTTCTAGTCATACAGTACTAGACCACTCATTGCCCTCAGCCCCTCCCAATGTAGCCTTGGCTCTGCCTCTGGGCTTTTGCTCATGCTGTCTCCTCTGCCTAGGATGTTCTACTTGCCCTCATTTTCCCTGAGCTGCCTGTCTGGGGTGGTTCCTCTCTTGGAGCTCCCATAACTTTTTTTTTAATCTCTCTAAGGCACTTAGCATTATGATATACATACAGTTCTCTGCATTTGTGGTTTATCTACTTGCTAGACTGTAAGCTCCATGAGGGTAAGGGTCATTTTACATCTAAACTTATATAAACATCCCAGTACCAACAACACAGCTCTCCAAATAGCTAATGCTTTAGAAATTTTTGTTGAATGAATGAATGGCTGGCTGGCTGGGATACTGCAGGGGGTGGAGGGATGCTAAAGACAGACTGTGGCCTGACAGTGTTGCTGAGGGCTCCTCTTAGTGCCACAAATAACAGGAAGCAGACAGTGTGGGGCTGTCTGTTTTGGGGGTCTAGCTCCTGTTACCTCTGTGACTGTGACGTGGCCGTGAGAGCTGAGCTGGGGGCCTGAAAGGGAGGGCTTCTTAGACTAACAATAGCTCTTTTCTGTCCCCATCAATAGAGATCATGATACATGCTGGGTTGATGGGACTTGGCCCTACAAAAGCCAGTGTCCAAGAGAATCTCCTCCGGCTGGTGGGCATGGCTCCTGCTCTGGCTCTCTGTGTGACCTGGGGTTAGCCCGGACCCTTTTCCCTGTGCCCTGGATCTGGTTCCCACGGAATCCAACCTGCTCCTCTATTTAGCAGGGCTATCCCCTAATCCCCTTTGTCAGGTCTGATTCAAGATCTGGACAATGTAGTAGGGGGAGATATCCAAAAGGGGAGTTGTGGGTAGGCAGTGGGGAGGGGACAGAGAGGTCACCCAGTACCTTTTCTGGGCCTTTGACTGGGGTGACTGGTGGGCTTTACCTCCTGACAACTTCAGGGACAATACAAGTCTGGGAGGACCCTGAGGTTGCTCTCTAAGTGGGAGGGGTAAAATTTTAAAAGAAAATGGATTATCTCCTTAATTATTTTTTTACTGGGGCATGTAGACTGAGTCAGGATCTCTCCTGCCTTATATTAAACAATACAGAGTCTTCTCAAAAATCAAAATGACCTAGGACTCTAAGATGTACATTAAGGTCTCATAAACCTGTGAGATCCTCCTTCCAAGTTAGAGAATGTGGGTGTAATATTGAGAGACTGTATAAGAGAGGTAGAGACAGAGAAAGAGAGAGAGAGAGGAGGTGGGAGGAAGAAGGAGGGAAGAAAGGAGAGACAAAGATGGGGAGAAAGGGGAAGGGAAGGAGTGGAGAGGGAGAGAGAAAGGGGGGGAGAGACAGACAGAAAGAGACAGAGAGGGGAAGAGGGAAAGAGAGATGGAGTGAGACAGGGAAAGAGAAAGGAAAAGAAAGAGAGAGAGAGAGAGAGGAGGAGAGAGGGAAAGAGAAACCAAAAGAAGGAGAAAGTCAGAGAGAAAGTGAGAGACAATGAAAGAGAGAGAAAAAGAGAGAGGAAAGAGTCAGAAATGAGAGAGGAGAGGGAAAGAGAGAGGGAGAAGAGAAGAAAAGAGAAGAGGAGAGGAGAGGAAAGGAGAGCGTGAATGAGTGTGTATGTGAATAAAAACCATGTGACTGGCATAGTTAGTAGTCTGGACAATTCTTAAGGCAAAACCTGCTCTTTCAGAGAAGTTTTTGGCAGTGCCAGGGATTGGTTGTTTAGTATACCCATAACAGGAGCATAGGCACAAGAGAACAACAGCCCCATCAGAAAGCAATTTTCCCTTTTCTGACTAATTCAGTTCAATTGAATGAATAAGTTTGTTTAGCACTTACAGTGTACATGCATTTACTAGAATACAAAGATGAAACAAGGCAGAGTCCCTGCCCTTGAGGAACTTACAATCTTATACTCAATCTGTAACCATTTTTGTACTACATGCTAGCAGGGCCCAAAGAATGGGGGTCCCTGACCTCAAGGACTGAACTCCCCTGGCAATCCCTGAGCTCAGAAAACCCAGAAGTCCTGGAGCTGACAGCAGAGCTTCATTTCTAGCAGAGACATCAGGGCCCTCCCCACTCCCCCTCCCCTAGCAAATGAGGTCTGGAGCCCATTGTCAGGACCCTAATGCTGTTTTCTTTGCAAAGCATTCAAAGAAAAAAGGAGAAAGAGACAGAGAACTCCTCCAATGCTAATCTTGTTAGGTTAAACTGTTCTCTAAGCAGATGGAGATAAGGCAAAGGCAGTTTTGTCTTTCTTGGCCAGGGGTTAGGTTTATAGGGCACAGAGGTCAGGCCAGAGAGCCAGCAGCACTCGGCTTTGTGTCCCTAAGTGAGCAGAAAAAAATTATGTCCCACATTTAGAGTTAAACCTATATAAGTCATTGAGACAGGGTTGAATCTTGGAGAAAAAAATAAAACACGAAGTTACTTTGTGTTTCTAATCGTTGGCTCCCTATCACATCCTCCATGGTTTGGCTTCCTTAGAGAAGTTCCAGAGAAACAGGCACCGAATTCCTCAAACTGAACTCTGTGAGAGCTAAGGAGTTCCTGATACTCTTGATATTGCCAGTATTTCTGCCTTACAGACTGCCACCTTTCTGTTCCACCATCTGAGAGGTTAAGAAATGGAAGCCTCAAAGTCAGATGAAAACCAAAAAATATCTCAGCTGATTTGATGTTTTTGTTCTCTGTGCCCAAAGGGTAGGAAAAAAAAGAGAATTCCCAGGAAATATCACTCCTCAACCTGTGGTCCCACTTTACTATCTATTGCACAATACCTCTCATCTAAGACAGAGTCCACTCAGGTGAAGGGCAAGGTCAGGCCAGGTCCTGATAATAATAATTGACATTTCTATAATGCCTTAAAGTTTGCAAAGTGATTTAGATACATTATCTAAACTTCAGGACAATCTGGAGAGACAAGTACTATGGGTATGATTCCCATTTTACAGATGGGAAAACTAAGGCTCAGTCAGGGTTAAGTGACTTGCCCAGAGTCATACAGAAGTATGTGTCTGAGACAGGATTTAAGTCCAAGTCTTCTCAATTTCAAGCCCAGGGCTATTTATTTATTATACCATAAGTTTATTCAAAAACTCAAAGTTTAGGTTATTTTCCCAGGTTAGTACATGTATAGTTCCATTTCCCACACCATTTATACTTTCCTACTATTGAATCCTAAGGCTCTAAAATAATGTTAAGTCTTCACAGATTTCCTCATGTCAGCTGGCAGATAGAATGAGACAAGAAAGCAGCCCGAGACATTTTAGGACAGTTTTTTTACTATAAGAGATGAAATGAAAGGGGCTTTGGGGTTAATCAACAGCTTACAACAAGAATGTAAAGTCCGTGACATCGGGGTCATGTCTTACAGAAACCCAGAATCTTGAAGGTGGTAAAAAGACCTCAGAGGTCACCAAGTCTAACCTGCTCTTAGGGAGGCGTCCCTGGCAGAGGGTCATCGAGTCCCTGAAGACATGCTGTGACACAGAACTCACCACCTCCCGGAGCTGACCATTTTACCCTTGGATCACCTGAATTCCTAAGAAGTTTTTCCTTATGGCAAACCTAAATCTACTTTCTCTCAGGTTCTGCCCGTTTCTTCTCTCTGTCCTCCCATGCTAAGCAGCTCGTCCCTTTTCCCCATGACGGTGCTTCAGGAATACATAAAAAGAGCTTTGGTCCTCTCCAGTGTCCAGCACGGGGCCCTCTGCATACGAGGTACCCAGCGTATGTAGATCAATTAACTGAGCAGACAATTCAATCATCCAGTGCACCCCTTGCTGCTCAAGGTTTCTCAGGTTGGCAGCTATAGTGTTCGGGCCTGAGTCTAAAGCAAAAAGACCAGAAGTAAAAGAAAGGATTTGTCCTGGACAAGCTGGGCGGTATACTTGGCACTAGCCATGGGGTGGTAGATATGGTAAACCCAAGTTTTAACCATCCTCATTTCCATTACTTTCTTTGTAACAGAATAGGGAAATAGCCATGTTCAAGCTTAAACAATAAACTTTAGAAATTATTTAACTTGGGGTACATGTACGTGGCTTAAAATTTTTTTTTAAAAACTGTATTTCAATATAACTGGTTTCCTTATTTTATTTTATGTATTTAAAAATATTCTGAGGAGTCCACAGGCTTCCTTATATTGCTAGATGGTTAGGAGCTCCTGGTCTAAATTCTCTCTGCCTAAGTGTTGCTCCAGCGATCCCTAATCCCAGCCCCTAGTCAGTGCTCTCCTTGTGAGATGAGCTGGGCAACGTAAGAGCTAACCCTTAAGATGCGTGCACCTCTGAGTCTTGCCCTCTCTCATGTTTGTCTTGTTTTTGGAAATACACAGCTTTGCAGAGTGCAATTTCGCAGGTACCTGTGATTCATGGAAGTTTGGAAATACAGGGTGTGGGGATCTTATTCCAAGTTTCCTGAAATTTCTGTGCAAGTCTCATGGAGGAAGACTGTATTGTCTCTGTTTCCAAAACATGGCTGTCATTTGAAGGGAGAAGGGCAAGAGACTAAAATTTTGAACTTTGAAAGCTGGTGTCGTTTGTGTCACTGCTATTCCTTCTCCCTAAGCCCCCCTACTCCTTGATCACTCTGTTCAGTGTATTTCAAAATTGTCAAGGTAAGTGTATGCTTGTCTCTTGTACTGTGTACAGTATCTGCAGAAAGATAGGGGTAGAGGGAAAAGAAGAGAAAGGTAAAAGGAGAGGAGAGGGGATAGAGAGGAGAAGAAGCAGAGGGGAGGGGAGAAGGAAAAGGGGTAAAAGAGAAAAAGAAGAGCAGATGGAAGGGGATCAGAGAAGTGGGGGGAGGGGAGAAAGGGCAGATACAGACAGCTGGATTCAGAGCTAGCAGTGGAGCTAAAGGAAGAAAGATGAGAATGAAAGAAGCAGGCAGAGAGGCATCGAAAGGAAGCCTTGGGTCCTTCTAGAGAAGGAGGGGGGCCAGTTCCCAGACCTGGGGAAGCTGAAGGCCAGGCAGGCTTGCCTGCTTGCTTAAGCAGACTGGGCGGCCCTTGGGGGGGGGGGGGGGGGGGGGGGGGGGGTGAGTGTGAGAACTTGCTGATTGCTAAGCAGTGTGGGAAAGTGGGAGGATGGGCAGGCAGGCGGGCGGGCAGGCAGGCAAGCCGGCGGGCTCACTTTAGTCACAGCAAAGGCAGTGGGAAACAAACAGCCTGAGAGAGCAGGAGTGAGCTGGAGAGAGCCCGCCCAGCCAGGCAGGAAGGAGGGGCTAAGGCTGGGAATTTCTCAGAGCATGTGAGGGAGTGTGCATTTCGGCACAGAGAGTGATAGGCATTTGAAAGGGGGGTACTCAGATTAGAGTGATTAAGATAGATTCAAAAGGAAGCACTTCATTGGCCCCCCAGTGACTGAAGCATCTCTCTCTTCTGGGATCCCTGGGCTCCACACATTGGGTGGGGGCTGCTTCCAGCCTGTCTACCTGGGATGGGAGTTGGTTGCGACACCGTTTTTTTCCCTTGAAAGTGAGACACTGCACTCTGCCAAGGGGTGAGCCTTCGGGAGGGATGACGTGGTACTACCCCCCACCCCTGGGGTGCCAGCCCATCCCTGGCACTGAATCATGGCCAGACAGTGACATCTACCTGAAGATGGCCAGAGGGAAGCAGGGATGCAGGGAAAGCAAGATGGCTGACAGGCCGGGGCTATGCCAATTTAAATCTCCTCCCTTGAGTGAGGCTGGAGTGCCAAGAGCTGTTCGCTTCCCAGTCCTCCAAGGAAGTATTTACACAGGGGACCAGAGGCTGCGTTTTCTTTATGTCTGCTCAAGGCCTGCACCCCTGGAAATGTGTGAGCCAAGCAATAGAAGCTGATCTTTTGGAAGATGAGGGAAAGACACTGATTTGGGTTGAGGTCCTGAGCCAGTGCCTCATGAGGATCTCAGAGTTGGTAGCCTTAGGTAGGCTACCCTCTTTCCTGGTATGGTGATTCTGGGGAGGCTGGGGCAAAGATTTTTCCAGGAAGATTGTCCTAACTAGTAGGAATAACTCCGAGGAAAAGAAAAAGGGTTGCTGAGATGATGACCAACTTTTCGACCAGACAATCAGCTTCATGACAGCTGGCCCCTTAGGGGAAGAATGGCAAGTCAATCCTTTAGGAAAGGATTTTAGTCCAAACAGTAGTCTAAGAAGATTGGCTGACTTGGGGCTCAGTCCATCGGCCAGTTCTGTAATCCTGCAAATAAGGCATGGGCTCAGACCAATTGGCAGAAAAAGAAGCTGGAAATAGAGGGGAAATGGCATTTGGGGTCCAGTGTAGATGAGGAAGTTCTGTATACTTAGCCCAACCTTTCTCCTCCTCCACGGCAAACCAGGCCACATAGAAGGGTTGTGTGTGTGTGGGAGAGACAGAGATAGAGAGAGATAGAGACAGGGAGACAAAGAGAGGGAGATAGGGAGGGGCAGAGGGGGCAGAGGGGGAGTGGAAATGCTGCCTGCTGTCTGTCCCAGGGGCCAGGCCTCACACAGAGTATCTAGGCTGGGGCCTCACACCCTAAATGGCCAAAGACAGGCTGTCCTTGGGGACTGGGGCCATGGGTATGTAGAAAAATAGCCCAAGGTGATTCTGAAGAAAAAGTAGCTTCCTTTGAAAATAAAGGCAGCAGGGCCTGGTTAGGGAGGCACTCCAGCAAACCCTCAGGCAATGCCCAAGGTTTCTGAAACTCCCTATTTTTAGGATGGCATCTTTGTGTGCCAGGTAGACAGAGCGATTTGCCAGGTTTACCAAGATACTGCTGAGTTTGCCTTGTGCTTGCCATAATCAGGCCCACATTCTCTCAAAGAGAGTTCATTCCCTGATCATAGCCACTCTTAACTGTGTCATAGACTCCTTTGACAATTTGGGCAAGCCTATGAACCTGTTGTCAGAATAATGCCTTTAAATGCACAGTTCTACAAAGGAAACCAATTGTGTTGAAATAAATGATAAAGGATTCTTTAAGGTTTACAAAGCACTTTAATATATATTATCTTATTTGATCCTCACAACAACACTGTGAGGTAGGTGTTATTATTATCCTCATTGTAAAATGAATGTAAAAAATGTACAAAAAAACCCCAAATCACCGGTAAAGGTGAAGAAACTGAGGCCAAGAGGTAAATGGCTTGCCTAAGGTCACATAGCTAGTAAGAGGGTCGGAGGAAGGTTTTGGGCTCAGGTCCTTCTGATTCCAAATCTGAAGCTGTTTCCACTACATAAAATCATAAATTTTTTTTTTTTAAAGTTCACAGACCCCAGGTCAAGAACCTTTGCCTATTATAGACAAATAAATGCCACATTGGTTCACCCACCTACATCACAGAATTCAACTTCTGTGTGTCAATGCAGATTCAAGCTTCCAAGTTAGCAGGGGTTTACCAGTCCAAAGAACCTTTTTAAGGCCCTGGGATGAAGGTTTGCAGGGTGAATGAGACACTTGTGGGGGTGGGGTGGTGGCAGGCGACATCAAATGCTAAACCTGAAATGCCCGTAAACTGGCAGGCCAGGTCCCTGACAGCTGTCTGCCCATCTCTGCTCTTCTCTCTACTACTGAGACCCTCAGTCTTATGCTTTTTGCACTATAAGCTGTTGTCTAAATAAAGCCCCAGCCCTCTACCATGCCTGACAAATGAGGAATTTGGGGGTATGGGGGTGGGATGGGTGTATGTGTGTGAAATTCACACCAAAATATTTCAAAGTATTGTTTACTCACCACCTGGTGGTGTTTGTTTCCTAGACTAAGAGGCTGAGAGGTGATAGCAGCAAAATTGTCCAGAGCTCAGAAAGGGGACAGGAGGTTAAAATCACTGAACTCAGCAGGCCTGGCTTTGACTCTTCTTGGAGAGGCAATCCAGATGTGACATCCTGTAGCACACAGGACATTACAGATCCCCAATAAAGTCTTCTAAATGAACAGCTTAAACTGATGATGGAGAGGGCCCAAACAAGAGCAGAGGTAGTGGTGGAGAAGGAAACAGTCTTTCGCTCTGATTTGAAGATGGGGGTTCAAATCCTATCTCAAATGCTTACAAACTGTGTGATTTAAGCAAGTCCCTTAACCTCTCTCTGCCTCAGGTCTCAACTGGAAAATGAAGGGGTTGGGCTGTACTGTCTCTAAGATGCCTTTTAGCATTAAATCGATGATCCTAACTTAATACTCTGGTGCCTTTTTGTGGCATGGATGTGACCTTGGCTTCTTGAAGTATATGCTGGGGGGAATGAAGCCTGGCAGGTCCCATCAAGTTGGGAAGGCTTCCAGTACAGTAGACTTGGTTATATTTATCATCCAAGCACCAGCTCAGCAAGATGCAGAAAGACTCATCAAAGGTTGACCACAGAATGATGAATTTTTTGGCCACAGCAACTCACCAAGACCGCCTACTAAGGAACAGAAAAGTTGTGGTCTGTGCTGTCAGAGGAAGTACCCAACAACTAAGAAATCACAGATTTGTGAAACATTGAATATAGGGTGCCAGTGATACAGAGGTGAGCAAGGTTTTTCACCCTTAGAGCTAAGAGATCATTTGAAAGGATAGCAGGGTGTACGGTGGGAAGGAACAGGACAAAAACAGAAAGAGTTGGAGGAGTTTCACAAAAGAGTTGGGAGCAAGAAGCAATGCTATGTGTCAGTGGGCTGGACTGGGTGAGATTAAACCGTTGTGAAGCGAATAGTCTGAAGCTGGCAAGGTGAGAAAAGCTGTGGGTATCTCCACCACTGTGATAAAGGAAAAGACAACCTCGAAGGAAAGAAAGAGGTACAACTTTAGCAATGCTGTGGAATGGGTACTAGACGTAGGAGGTAGAGGAGAGAGGTATTCTGAAAGCAGCCTTGCCCATCCTTTCCCCCCTGCTCTGCCCATACTTCTTGAGTCCAGAAGTGTGATAGGAGAGTATTCATTCTGCACAAATCTTTTACCCATATTTTAACATTTATATCTTACTTGAGGATTTACAAAGTACTTTTCTCCTAGCGGGTAAGTAGCAGATTTCTAGGCTCAGGGAGATGCAATGATTTGCCCAGTCATGACAACCAGGATTTGAACTCAGGTCTCCTGACTCCAAGTTTAGAACCCTTTGATACTTCCACTCTACTACTCTCTGCGCCTTTCTCTTTTATATGATTCTAGACCAGAATACTATCTGACAAGATGATCATGAAGTAGCTGAGAGCCTTTGGAAGCTTCCTGTTGTCCTGACCGAGAGGGCTCCAGGAACAGTAGGATCCCAGTAATGCAACTGGGAGAATAAGCCAAGGATAGTATAATAACGTGCTGGCCTGGGAAGGGTCACTCCTGGTAAGTCCCTGAAGAAATACCATGTTTACCTTTAACAGACAAAGCCTCTCTACCTTTTCTGGTGCCTTGAAAAAGACAGACATTGTTGTCTTATTAAATTTATTATTTTCCTTACTTGCCTGTGTTTTCCCAGCCTGGAAAGCAGAAGTGGTGCCTGAGAACCAAACCAGGCTAGACATCAAGCCTTGGACCAGAGGGAAGGTCACCTGCTCCAGCCTTTCCCCGCCAAAACCCCAAAAGGGGAATCGAGTCTGCGTACTTCCTGGACCACTTGAAAAGTATGGCTGGGGTCAAAGCAGAGGGATTTCTGGGTATGGGTGCAGAGGCCATTCTCCTTTGACCTCACAAAACACGTTGCTTGCCTTTTTCTAATGTTTGTGCCAATTTTGTATTACAGTTCTCTTAATGTGTCTTACCTAGATTATTAGCTTCATTAGGAAAGGGCCCTATGATTCATTTAACCTGTATCTACCCCAAACCTAATCCAGTACTCTATCCAAATAGGTCCTTAATAAATGTAGACTTAAAATTAAACTGAATGTCATCCCTCAACAATTTTTTCAGGACTCCAAAGCCCCTTGCTTTCAACCCAAGGGAAGTTTCCTTAGAGTGGTTCACATTCCATTTCACAGTATTCAAGGCTCTCCAGAGTCTGCTGTTCCCTACCTATACAGCCTTTTTGTTAACCTAGGAATTGCCATCCTTTCTGCCTATCCAAATCCTACCCATTGTTCAAGGCCTAATTCTAGTTCTGCCCCTCTATGAGGCTTGCCAAGGCCATTTCTGTTCAGAGACATCTTGCCCTGCCCAGGGTGATCGTATCTACGGTCCAAAATACTAATCGAGCACTTATTTTAGGGCAGTTAGGTGGTGCAATGGACAGAGGGTCAGGCCTGGAGTAAGGAAGACCTGAGTTCAAATCTGGCCTCGGACACTTACTAGCTGTGTGACCCTGGGCAAGTCACATTACCCTGCTTGCCCATTTCCTCATCTCTAAAATGAGCTTGAAAAGGAATGGCAAATCACTCCAGTATCTTTGCCCAGAAAATCCCACATGGGGTCACAAAGAGTCGCACATGACTGAAACACGACTAAACAACACCAAGAGACACTTATTTACTGTCTTGTGACTTTTCTTCATTATTGATAAACATTCTAGGTTCTCCTATCTTCCTTACACGGACTGAACTCCTTGAAGGCAGAGACCTACATTTTACTTGTCTGTGCTTTCTCAGTGCTATGCACACACCAGGTACTCAGTATTTCTGGAATGAGTTAGGAAACTTGAGTATTCCCCTTAAGGAAACAATTACTTTAAAAAGGGGAGAATAATCAGCTTTATACCATATGCAGCCCCTAGTGTCTCACTCTTATTTGTGTTACTGTTAAACTCCAGTCCCAGCGCCTTTAAGCTCTGTGCTCAACCCCTGCCACCACATTAATCATTTAAAACACTCATCTTTTCACTCTCCTGCCCAGGGCATCTACTCTAACCCTCAGCCTTCTATTTATGGCTATTTAGAATCGGAGGCTCTTAGCCTATCCACCTGTCCAGACTTTCAGATGTCCTAGGAAACCATCTGTTCATTCTCACCTATGGGCTACAGACCAATTAATCCCCTTTACTGCCAGTGTTATTCTTCCCTTTCTGTCTACACATGCCCTACACATCCTTCAAAGCCCAACTCAACTCTTGCCTCCTCTAGTGTCCAGGGATTCTTAAAGCATGAACCATACAAGTGACTGTAAGTCGTGTTTTGTTCGCTAACTGTTCTATGTATGTCTGCTTTCCTTAATTAAACTTCAAGCTCTATCTTTTTCTTATCATAAGATCATAGACCTAGAGGTGGAAGGGCCCTTAGAGACTATCAAATCCAACTACACTCATTTTACAAATGAGCAAACTGAGACACAAAGTAGTTAAGTGACTTGCCCAAGATCACATGGTAAGTGTTTGAGGAAGGATTTGAACCCAAGTCTTTCTTGTTCTAATGTCAAAACTCTGTGTACTACATATTCCATGCTGCTTCCTGGCAAAAGATACAGTGGAAAATAGTTGTTCAATAAATATTTGCTGCATTGAATAAAATCAAATCAGGGTGAAATGAAATACCCTTCACCCCTAATTCTCCCAACCAATCTCCCGAGGTCTTGGGTCCCCAGACCTTTTTTTTACTGTACAAATACCAGCCCATAATTTCTCTCTATAACCTACTAGAGTCCCGACACCCTCTTCCTTCTCCTCCTTCCCTGTCTCGGTCTGAGATCTAGTAAGGTTGCCCAGGCCCAATTCCCCATTCTGGGCTTTGGTGGAGCTCAGCCTCCACCCTGGTTCTCAGGCACCACTTCTGCTTTCTGGGCTGGGAAAATGTACCAAGAGAAAAATAATAAATTTAAGAAGACGACAGTTTCCATCTTTCCCAAAGGTAGAAAATAAACTCATTGTTTGGCTTTCTGGCAATCCTGACGATGATTTAAATATGCCAACCTGTCCACCCCACCCTTTCTAAACAGAGAGAAACCACCAGGCTGGTAGCTCCCTTTAAACCCCCTTCCTCCCCTCCCAGACTGCCTACTCTGGGGGCAGACAGATGAACCCCTACTGGTGTCTGCAGGGCCCCTTACTGAGGGATGTGGTATGAGATGGTGATTGTTTTGGACAGGTGATGGGCATCAGACTTTGTAGACTAGTATCTGTAATGCCCTTAGCTAATAATAGAGAATGTTAGGATGCATGTTTGCATATCTTCTGGGCAAATTTTAGACTATAGGCAGAGGACTGGTGCCAGTGGTGTTCCTTACTAACAGGGACTGTCAAGGTTTAATCTGGTGAATTTCCTGGGGAGATTATAGGATCACAGATGGGGAACCGTAAGATGTGGGGCTCTGGGTTGAATGGATTGGCTTCCTGCTCTAGAAGATGTAAGAAACCCAGAGATTATTTAATTGAGAAGAAAGTGCTGACTAGGTCAGGCCAGGTTTTCTCCGAGATGAAGTCTCCACCTCTTTTTACAGATAAATATCTCATTGAATTTTGGGAGCCAGATCATGAAATCTGACCCCAGGATGCCCCAATGCAATTCACATCTAACCCTTCTAACTTGCTTTAGTCTCCATCAATTCTCTTTCCTTTTGCTGGAAGTATAAACAATTACTGCTCTGCCTCAGCAGCCCCTCACCCAGACTGAGGGTGGAAAAGTAGGTGCTTTGGGTGGCAGAACACCTTTTGGCCTTATTTTGTCAGTCTGTAAAATGGGAAAACAATACTAACTCACTTGGCAGGGCATTTCTAGGGATATCTAGAGATAAAAAAAAACACTTCACTCAATAACATGGTAATGCTCAGATGCTGGAAAATACAAGCAGCATCAGTTTAACAACCCTAGAAAACATTTAAACCAGTACATATGGCTGTGTCTTCCCCAAGGAACTACGTGACCAAAAAATACCATTGGTCACTTGCCAGATATTTCCTCTGGTGCTCTGGTATGGTGGAAAGAATTATGGCTTTGGTGTCAAGACCTGGGTTTGAATATTGGTCACCTGTGTGACCTTGGTAAGTCACAACCTCTCTGGACCTTAGCTTCCCCCTCTGTAAAATGAGAGAATTAGTACAGATGACCAGCTTTAAACCTATGATCCTATGACCCTACTAGTCAGAGGCAGGGCCTGCTCTATGTGGCTGGGGCCTTTATGCTATGATCTTACTGTTCAGCGACTCAGTGGTCAAGCCTAGGGGAACTAAGTCAATTGACCACAAGCTCAATATGAGTCAACAGAGTGACATAGTACTTAAAAACCTGAAATGATCTTAGATTGCATGAAGTCCCCCAGTATTCAGAATGTGGAAGGCGATAGTCCTTCTGTATTCTGCCTGATCAGACCACATCTGAAGTCTCATGTTCAGTTCTGGGTGCTTCAGTTTAGGGCAGGCACTGATCCTCTAGCACGTGTCCAGAGGAAGCTGACCAGGATGGAGAGGGGGCCTGAAACTATGCCATATAAAGATCAGTTGAAGGAATTTGGGACACTTAGCCTAGAGGCAAGATAAGACTTAGGGGGAAAGTGCAGGAGAACTGCCTTAAAATAACTGAAGGGTAGTTGTCTGGAGCAAGAATTAGACATGTTTTGTGTGGCCCCAGAGGAGAGAACTAGGATTAGTGCGTAGGTGTTACAGCCAGTTAGATTTCAGCTCAGCATAAGGAAGTTTGCTTTTTTTTAAACAACTAAGAGCTGTCTAAAAGTAAAATGGATTGCTTAGTATTTAGTGAGTTTTCTATCACTTGACACGTAGGGAGAGACTGAACTAGTGGGAAGATTGACTGCTGTAATGGCAGAAGAAATATCCGAAAGGAATGCTCTGAGTCTAGGTGTGACTCTTTGGATTACAGCCTATAAACCTTGCAAGTACATCATGTGAGGAAAGTTTAAATTTGGTGGACAGGTTTGTGATAGCCAGGGGCATGTTATCTCCCACTACTCCAAGCCCCTACGGTCTTTGCTGTTTCTGTCAAGGCCATGATTTGGACTTGCAGATTGAATACAGAATAATAGCTAGCCTTTATATAAGTTTGCAAAGCCTTTTGCAAATGTTAATTCATCTTATCCTCACAATTACCTCAATGATGTAGGTGCTATTATTTGGGCTATTTTACAGATGAGGAAACTAGGGCAAGTAGGCTGAGTGACTTGCCCAGGCAGGGATTGTTTGAGGCAGTATTTGAACTCGGCTCTTCCTGACTACACATGCAATGTTTTTTTCTACCACATAGTGTTTGAAAGTCAACCCCAAGCTCGCATCCTCCACCCAAGGAGCCTCTACACTGAAACATGGAAATGGGCAAGTGTTAGTCTGCAGAGCTTACCCAGCTTTAAAATCCAGCCTAGGTTTCATCAACAGCTCTTCACCAAAAGCTGGGTCACCAAGTGTGAGAACAGATTACCAAAGGTCTGGCCCACTGTTTTACCCTGGCCTATTCTACTGACCTTCTACACTGGACCATTCTGAACTTCACCTTTTATCGTGGTCTGCTCTGACATGCCCATCTCCTGTCCAGTCTCTCTCCTTCATCTTCAGGCCCCTGTAGCTTGTCATCCACATGCCTAATCAGGGCATTCTGACAGCCAGCCCTTTCAGAGACCCTCCACAATCTGCTACTTCCTTTTCTGTCAGAGAGATCCCAGACGATGTCTAACATAGCCAGTAGGTCCTATGCTTCTGCAAGGCCAATAAAATGGACAAATCTAATCTTTCAGCAGCAGCAAATTGTAGCCCGGA